CCTGCTGAAGACAACACACATTCCAGGGTGGTTTTTGGTCACTTGAGATTCATTCTTCCCCGTGTCGCAATGGGACGGCAAGAGCTCAAACCAGATGCTTGTTTCCCCAAGATGCTACAGTCATGGCTCCGGTATGCTTTGCAGCAAGTATGCGCAAAGGTTTATCGTTAATCATTCCCCAGGGCCATGGTAAATCAGAGAGTAAATTGTTCCTTGCATCACCTCCCTTGGGATTCACTGCACTAAATAAAGACAGACACAGAATTTCAACACGATCCAACCAGGCGTTTGGAGCCGGGCTGTGCTCATGCCAGCTGCCAAACTGGTGTGCTCAAGGCTGCCTGCTGCTGTGAGCCTGGCAGGGCTGCCCTGCCCTGGCCCTGCAACCCAGCCCCTGTCCCGACACTCGTGAGAGCCCCTTAGTTGTGTGTCACTGCAAAACATCCTTTCCAAGGGGCCAAAAATTTTGGTCAAAACATTTTTCAAGCAATGCTCTGTTCTGGCTACCAAACCGCTGTGAAGTTGTTGGGAGTTTGATCTGCACATACGATGCTAAAGCAATTAAAATAAGGATATGAGCAACTCACAATTCTCTCATCCTAAAAAAACCCAAACCAGCACATTTTCATCCTTGAAAAATGTCAGTCAGCATATCCTACATGGCAGGGGGATGTATTTCACACATATTTCGTACATGTGAAGTGGAGGGCACTCGCTCTCCATCCCTACCTGCACTGCTCTTCCACCTGGCACTGGGAGCGCACAGGTACACCGCACCTAGCAAGGGTCCGTCCACCTTATCTGCAAGAGCACAGTTACTCTCTTATTTACCACTGCTCAAGTCTGAAAAACTTATAGCCACGCAAGAATCACCTTGTGGGGAACAAACAAGACACCAGTGGGGTCTGTCTGCAGAGCAGCCCACGCAGGCAGGCATGAGCACCCATCCAGCCACCAGTTTCGGGACGGCGGTGCTGGGTGTTCATCTACTGACCAATTATACAGCATGTGTTTCACATGGGCTTGTGCCTGTGCTTAATTGCATGAGGATGAACAACTCAAAAAGTCATCTAGTGCTAACTGGGCTGTACCCCTACGAGCTGCCGTCACTGCAATGCAGACAGACCCAAGCAAACCCTGCCTCCGTGGCCAGGCAGGTTCCCAAGAGCAAAAGCAGAAGGAGGCAGGTGCTGAACCCTGGCTAGTACGCAAATTCCACTTTCAAAATGGACTGGTAGGGTGTTCCCCCGCCAGGATTCCCAGGGATGCACAGAAATTGCAGGACTGTTCCCTAAATGTGCAAAAGATGTCAGTCATGAGAGCTGCGTATGTGCACTGGGGAAAAGAGATTGTCTTGCCAAAGTTGGGACCATATAATGGACTCCATCTGCAGTCCATCCTCTTTAACATCAACAAACACAGTCAGACTTGGACATGAAGATCCAGAACATTATGTGGTTTCAGCTATGCAAAGCCGGCCCCAAATCAAAACTAGGGACCATTGCATTGGCACCAGATATGTTTGTGTTTCCTTTAAATGTGTGAGATAGCAGTTGCATCCCAGCAGATAGATGCAATACTTTACCTGCATCCCATCTCACACGAGAGGAGTGGTAGCACTGCCTCAGCCGTGGATGGAAACAGCAGCTGGAAGGGACAACCCAGGGGCAGGGAGAGGCAGCAGTGCTCCCATTGCCTGCTGAGGCTGGGCACCGCACAGCAGGCGGCCACACTGCCCCACCTGGGTACGCACTCTCCAAGCATCCCTCGCCCTGGGGTACAAACCGCGACCTAGCAATTGCAGCGGGCTGTGTCTGGGCACCATAGCAATTGTTGGCTGTAGCACCATATCGATCACCTGGCTGGCTGTATCTTCTTTTATTTTTAGCCACAAGCCAAAATTTTGGGGTTAAAAAAACCCTTCCCACACCCTTTTGGCATGCCCAGTTCTCCAGAGGGTATGGTCCTGGTGTGCTGGTTCCTGGGGCTCTTGCAAGGCTCCTTGCTGGAGGACATGGTTGGGAAACACCCCTTGCTGGTAGACATGGTTGGAAAGGGCAAACATGGTGTGTGCAAGGGCCAGGCTCTTTGGGATCTGGAATAATGCCTCCTTCTTTTATCTCCTCTCCTTTCCTGCCTGCTTCTTGCTGTCCTGCACAGAGATCCCCGCCGCTCCCCCCACCACCGCCGCCAGCAGCACAGAGGAACCTGCAGGTATGTTGTCTCTTCTTTTAAAGCATCTTGATGGTAAATGTCTTTTGAGCAATCGTCTGCCTGACATGAAATTGCATTAAATTAATACATAAAAACTCTGTTGTTTGTACTGGGACAAGTGGTTTCCTTTTATGCCCAAAATGTCCGAGTGTTTGAAACACATGTGCAGCATCCCGAGAGATGGGTGTTTCTAGGAGCATGTGGAAGTGTAGGAAAGATGCGGAAAGATTTTCCCAGAGGTGGCTGAATTTATAAGCACACAGAGGTTACCCAAAGTGGGACCAATGCTTGATGGAAAAGAGGTAAGGACTCAAGACCACTACTGGCTGATTATTAAAGCTGAGTGGTTACCTCAAGTAGGAGAGCCCTAAGAGGGTAAGAGAACATCCCAGCCGAGTTTTTCTGGTGGAGAAGGACTAGAGAACCAAAAATCACCCAAAAGAAAACAAAAATCTAAGCATTGTTTACTGCTGCATATGAGCATTTCCTTTGGTTTTTGCCTATATCCATGTATTTCTGGTGCTGAGCAATCTTAGGTGCTGATGTGACCTGTGTACGTTAGCAGCAATGTGTCTCACGTCTGGCTTTGTGGGACCTCGGGGTGGGACACGGCTGTGGTTAGTGGTGGTGTTGGGGATGGTTGTGCCCAGATGTGTCTCAAGGCCAGTGACTGTAAGAGCCGGGGGACGTATCTCAGCTTGGCACAGGAGGTCCTGCAGCAACACATCTTGCAGTAAAGGTCCTGCCTCTGTAGCCTGGGGGCAGCGGTGAGGCCCCGATGGGTTTGCATCACCGTATTTATGCAAGCTGTAATACAGAGGCTCATCCTCAGAAAGCTTTGGCACATCACACTGCGTATATCCTCCCGTCTCCCTTCTCTTGTCCTTGTGCCAAATACAACCTGTGCAATGCCGACCCGGGGCTCAACGCGTCTCTTCATATGCCCCATCTCCACCACCACAACTGCGCTGACACCCCACCATCCTCCCCTCCTGATTTACACCCCCAGAGGGATCGATACCTGCCCCCGCCATGTCACCGAGGGACTTTCCTGTTCCCAGCTCCCTCGGGGTCAGACGGGTCTGAGCAGGGGATGACAGCAGGAGCTGGAGGGCCCCGGGAAACGGTGACTTATTCCGTCCCGTTGCCTGCAGATTCCCGGGGTATTTGAACAGTGCCGCGGCTGTGAAGGACACGGGGTGTAAAGGCTGTTTACTTTTGTCTCACCAGTGTAGGAGGGTTCATAAATTAAGGATTTTGTACTAAAAGTGATGGGCGTCACCTTGAATTGAACTCTGAGCCGAGGCTCGTCCTGTGGCAGGGCTTTTCACACCGGCTGTGGTGGTGTTGTGTGCTCAGGAGCTTTTCCTGGGATGGGAAACCCAGGGAGCAAAGGGACAAGGTCTTCGGTCCCCAGTGTCACAGGAAGGTGAAGCCCATGGTGTTCTGTAGGACTGATTTAAAGGACAAGTTCTGCTGCCAGTAAACACAGTAGCAGCGACTCTGTTTCAGTGTCTTGTCTTAGGCTGGTATGAGGAAGAAATATCTTGCAGCCTGGGGTTTGGGCCTACTGCTTTGTCTGTGCTTCTTAAAGTGTCTCCACCGACCTGCAGGGCTGAGAGGAGCATGAAGACACACCAAAAACCTGCCCCAACCAGCATACTTCCAGCTCAGGTTCTGGTGATCAGCCCTTTTGCTGCTTTGCCTTATTAATTAGGTGCCAACATGAGACATGAAGTTTGGTGAGTCCATCACTGTGAAGTATTGAGCTGTTAGGAACAGAGACTGTCCTACCTAACCTGAAGCCAAGCAGGGGCAGGTCTTCTCTTCCTTACAACACTGTTTCCAGCCTGTTACCCACTTCCATCAGGAGAAATCTTCCTCCCCAGCTCCTCAGGAGCTTAATTACATGCCATAATGCATCTCACCATCTTCTTTCAGCCACAGAGAGCTCTGCCCCAAAGCTGCCATTAAACCTCCCATCTTGTCCTGGCTGCAAGAGCACTCAGTGTGGGGATGTCCCTGCCGTGGCCAAGTCCCTGGGACCAGCAGGGACACCCCAAGTCTTCTCACAAGCATCATGAGAGCTGGCAGCTCCTGCAGCCTCTGCAACTTTTTCATTTATCCCAACACTGCAGTTTGGTGCAGTGTTGTAGTTGCATCCCAGCAATGCCAGCTAAATGTGCTGGATGCATGGGGTAGAGCGGGCTTCCCTCTCCGCATCTTGTTCTGCGGGAGACAAATTTATGTCTGCAGCTCCCTGTTTCACCCCTTGCTATAAAGGAAGCCCAGGGTCCAGCTGAGACTTTTAGATGCTTAATTGAGGGTGGGTTCTTCCCATCCACAGGGACTGTGCTGCTGATATGCGGAAGATTTATAGGCAGCTACAACATATCAGCTAGTAGTTTAAGGATCAGTGGGACCTCCAGAAAAATGTGGCCGCTGCCCTGCTGAGTGTGCACTGCGGGAGAGGCTCCATCCAACCGGTCCCCTCTGCGGCAGAAGGTGGATGGCAGCAGAGCAGGATCTGAAGGGTTTACTTGGATCCTGCTGGGGCGAGCTCTGCTCCATGGTGTCATGTTAAATTGTGCATCTTCACCTGCTTGATTTACTGACCGATCTTTGGGGATGGGGCCTTTGGCACTTAGCATCACCATTTACCCTGCTTTCACCCTCCATCAGGTAATAATAAACCCGAGCATCGCTTAAATACAAAGCTCAACAGATGAAATACCAGATTTATCACAAGCTCCTGCTATTTAGCAGGAATTCGCAGACTAAATGTTCTGTCTTGTGGCCTGGGAACACTGAGATTTTATGCTCCGCACCAGGATCCGTCTGTTCCTCCCCCCATAGCCTCCCAAACCCGCTCTGTTCCCAGCGTATGGCAGGCAGCACAGACCTCTCGTACCACGATGCCACCGGGTTTATCACAGATTCCGCCAACGAATGTGGATGTTTGGCAGCCGAGGAGATGCAGAGATGGCTTCTCACAGCCCTTTCTGCAAGGAGCTTGGTTCCTGAGATGAAGCCCTGTGCGGAGCTACAGTGTCTCAGTGCTGGGGTCTCCTCACCACCCCTGGGAGCAGAAGCAGCCCCAGCACACTGGGCACCTCCCAGCCAGAACCTCATTCTGTGTGGATGAGCTTCGTAGGGTGCTGTGGGCGGGTGTAACAGAGAACCCAGGAGCCTGGGGAGTCCTGTCCCTTCCATCCAGCCCCAGCACCAGGCTGTCTGTCCCTGCCAGAGACTCTTTGCTTGGTGGGAGCCTTCCCATGGGGACATTCATCCCACCCTGCATCTGCCTGCCCTGGCATGCTCTACTGACCCACCGAGGGTCATTAGGGGTGTGGGGGAGATGCTGGCTTTTCCGAGTCACCCTTGGGTGTCTGTGGTCCTTGGTGGAGTCTCCTTTCCTTGGGCTTCTTCCTGCCAGGGGCCAGGGCACGTCCCACCTCGTGCAGCTGCCCCAGCCCTTTCCCAAAGGCAGGACCTGGCTCATGCCATTCCCTCCCCTGCTCGAGGTCAGGTTGCAGGGCAGGGGGTGCATTTCTGAGTGAGTAAACTATTGCTTTTCCCTATAATCATGGTGTCAAACATCCCTCAGGTCAGCTTTGCAGGCAGTTTGCCCTGCTAAGTCACCTACCAGCCTTGGAGCTGGTGGCAAGAGGTGACACTTGAGCAGTGTCCCTTGGTTTGAACCAGCCACAGGGATCCCTCAATGCCATTTTGCTGCTGTTAGGAGCTCGTTTTCCCTGTTCATCAGTCCATGAGGGCCTTTCTGCGGACATTCCCTATTATTCACAGTCTTTTCCCTGCCAGTCCCTATGTCCTCTCGCATCTTCCCAGAGCATGACCACAAGAGGGATTGAATGCAGGCGAGGGCTTGGACGAAGCAGTGTTTATCCACATCCATCAGGCAACATCCCGGCTGAAACGAAAGTGCTACTGAAGCCCCAGCCCCGCAGCCACGATTCACGGGTACGGAGTGGTTTGGGGGTGACACATCTCCCACCTGTGTGCTCCACGTGAATACCAACACAGCCAGGGAAACAGCTCCTTTCCGTGAGCTCCCTGCGCTGTCCTGGGCAAATGCCAACTGGAGCAGCTGCATTCGGCCATCCCAAATTCCACGTGCCACCTCGATTGGCCACAGCCCTCGTCAGCGCCTGCCCTGAGTTGATGTGCTGTGGCAGTGTGACCCGCAGCAGCCCCAGGCTGCGAGTCACGGCCACCAGCTCAGCGCCAGGCACTGTGCCAGGTGAGCTGGGGCCGGTACTGGGCTATGTGCCCCTGTGGCCCCTCAGCTGGCCAGCAAGCAGCTTATGCAGCGACCTACATAGAGCTTGCAGCAATAGGACCCTTGAGCAGGACAAGGGGGTGCACAGCTTATTTTGGGCACCAAACATGGACATTTTGGTGAAGAGCAGGTCCCTGTGCAGCCAGTGGGGAGAGCTGGGTGCTCCCTGTCACCCGTGCATATAGGAGAGTGCCTATAGGGATGGCTGTGGGGGTCAGACATGCCCCTCAGCTTTGACCAAGGTGTTGGGTAGGTGTTTGAAACACCTTCCAGCCTTGCTACAAAGGGACCATCTCTCCCTGGTGCTGCTGGCAGGGATGCAGCCTCCAGCCCTGAGCCCCCACAGATTGGGGCAGCAAATGGCCCCGTTGGGGAAGGAGCAAGACCCATAACTCTGCGTCCTTGTCCTGGAGAGAAGGGTTATTTAGGGATCTGCCCAAGCCCAAATGGGTTTGCATAAAGCCTGTAACTGAGAAAATCTCAGCAGGGTTAGAGACCTCCCTTCAGTAAAGGGACCAGCTGGAGGCTGGGAGAGCGTTATCCCTGGGCTGGGAGTGAGCCGGCCATCCTGACAGCCTGCGAGCCATGAGAAATGACTTGACAGCATCTCTTGGATCCCCACGTCACTGGAGGGCCGGATCTCCCCACTCCTGCCTGGAGGGGCGACCGGGGACCAATCCATCTCTCCAGGAGCCGCTCG